TTTCACACACACTGTAGTTAAGCAGTGCAGTACAGATGTGGGAAGTTTGGGATTTTGCTAGAGATAGGAGCCAGAATGCACAGCTTTAATGGTGGGGGATCCATTACTCATACTCCAGGAAGGCTTGCCCCTGCTCAGCCCCCTCACACACAGTGTTGCAGCAAAGTCGTGCCTAGATTGGAAATAAATGGAGGAGTTCAGGGAGTGAAGATCCTTACCACCATTTGCTAAGCTGGCTGCAGGAATTTTTTTCCTGTCATAAACTGTTGTGAATCTGAAAGGGCTGCTGTATTTTCTTCCCAGACAGGGTAATGTTTAGTTGGCAAATGAAACAACCTTTTGTTCGGAAAGCTCTTTTGAGATGAAAGGCGTCAGCAAAGTTGTTGCTATGTCTCCTGTGACTGCCTCAGTTGAGGAGCTGGACTGTGTGTTCTAAGCCTTTCTGATGCAGAGGCTCTAGTGCTTAGTCTGAGCCAGTTTACTCATTCGTTAGCTCTTACTTTTTTGGCTTTAATTGGCTTCCTACTGCATGTCACATTGCATTTTCCTTTGGCTGGCGGATGTGGAGTTGACCTCCTTCTCTGGGCTCCTAAGAGAACATGTTTTCTTATTAGATAGAGCTGTCTGGTATAGGCTGGAGGAAGCACCTTGTGAAAGAGAGTGCTGAAACTTAAGTGTGTTCTTTGCAACAGTGATACCTTCTCAGCCTTGTGGATGACTCCACAGGTTACTTTTCATCTTGTTCTTTCATAAGTGATATGTAGGTGCAAAATGTGTGTGAAGATGAAGCTCCTGGAAGACTTTCCACATCTATAGCAGCGTCCCTAATGCAAGAAGAAATCCTTAGCAGCCCTTTCCTTCTGGAGTTTTGTAGCTTGTTCAGAGTTTAAACAGATTACCTGTTCTGTAGATCCTGCACTATTTTCCTACCTTGTTTTCTTGGTTATCCTAAAAATGACAGACTGCTGTTTAATGTACTCAGACTGACTTCACAACCTATCTAGTCATCTGCTTTCCTTGTTCTCCTTTTTAAAAGGATTTCATTTAATGACAGCAATGAGATGGTGCATCTAAGTGATGGGACAAATTAATTTAAGTACTGTGTGGACTAGCGAACAAATGCTAGCACAAAACTGCCTTGGCTATGTCTGTGCTCTCTTGCTTCTGTATTATTCATATGGCAGACCCCAACTTATTATTATCCTACCTTGAACCCCACTTTGTCTGTGTTCCTGGTGGAGTATTTCCTACGTTCCCTTGGGAGAATCCTCTAATCAAGTGCTTGGCAAACAGCCATTAAGGTTTTGTGGTTGGCTTACATTTTGTGTGTTTCTGGCCCAACTCTGCAAAAGGACCAGTGCTGTACACCAGTCCTGTCACCAGTCTAATGAGCCCAAGGAACAAGTCCCATGCCTTATGTTTGTGTGCTGACCTCCTTACAGGGGCTCTATTACTATTTGTTTTGGAATACAGTTCCTTGCAATTTCATCTGGGTAATGGGCTGGGTAATTCTGTAAAAAATAAAGTTTTGTATTTAGGCAATTAATCTTGGGCTCAGGCAAGTTTGATGTCCAGCATTGCAGTTATGATACAGAGCCAGTTACTGAGTTCTTACTAAATACAGATCTTTGGTGACCTCAGTGATACTGAAAAACACTGAATTGTCAAAGTTCTGTTGTTTTCTGTCACTAGTGTATACATTGTTTTGTCCTCCTCCATCTGCTTCTACAGTTAAATTGGATTCAAGTGAATTCGTTAAGAACATGTCACGTTATATTAACAGTGAAATATACTAGGTGCCATGAAAAATAAATGTTTCCAATAATTTTACGGGGTTCGAAGCTTTTGTATCATGAGAGCTGAGCTTCGATTGCTCTGGGAAGATGAGGGAGTGTATGCAAGTAACACAGGTCTCTGTAAGAATAAATATCTGTAAAAGCTCCTCACTTATCTACCAGAGTATTATGGAGCTCACCTTCTGCCAAGATCAATGTCTGTAGCTCTGTGCCTTCTGCTACAGGACATGAAATGCTAATCCCTAATGCACAGCAGAGAATGTAACACCTTGTTTAGTAGCTAGAGATGTTCTTGATGCAGGATGAAAGGCAGAACCTTGAAATCACAACCTGTTGGGTCACTTAGAAATGCAGCTCACTCTTGGAGCATCTGCCCTGTGCATGCTCCTCCTTACCTGTGGGCAGGGCACAGCGAGTGCTCTGCAGGAAGTGCTCATTCTCTTGCCTTGAGATGTTGCCTCTGCTCCTGCCTTTCGAGAATCCTAATTTATCTTAGCAGTAACAAATCTTATTGTTTGTAAAGTATAAAATTCTGTTACAGCTTGTCCCTTTTCTGCTTCTGCAGCCTGTTCCTCTGTCCTCCTTCCAACCTCAGGTTAAACAGGAGTTGCTTGTGGTACTGTGCTGGGAAGAGGGGGATAGTCATTGTTTTACAGCAATAGAGCACGGACTCGGAACAGATCCGATGAGGAAGTCCCTGTGTACTCCTTTTTCCCTTTGACTTGCCTTTTCTTGAGAAGGTGCTAATCACCCCCTACCTTTATTTAGTGTCAAAGGGTCTTTAGTGGGTCTTTAGTGGGTCTTCTCCTTGGAAGAGGAGAAACTGGGCTGTCAATGCTAATCTCAAACACAAATGTGCAGCCCTTGCCACATTAGTCATGCCTTTGTCACCTCTAGATTGGATTAGTGCAGTGCACGGTATGTGGGTCTACAGCTGAGGACACATGCAGAACAGTGTTGTCTGCTTGTTTTAGTGTCACGGGAGAGTATTTTCTAGAGAGATGTCAGTGTCTGAGGAGTGCCCTCAGTCAGGATCCTGAGCTGACTTCCCACAGTGGTCTGCTGGAAGCTGGTTTGGCTGTCAGGCAGTGCTTTAAAGCTTACCTGCTGCTGTTACCGTGTTCTGTAAGAGGATAAGTTGAAGGATTGAATGCAACTTAAGACTTTGTGAGGAAATACATATCAGAGCCCTGTTGCTTGCTTTGTTTTTTGTTGATTGTTTTCCTATATTCATGATATTGCTATGTGTTGCTTGGGTTAGGAGAGATGTCCTTAAAGACATCTGGTTGTGGAACAGTATGTTGGCAGTGGAAGTTTTTCTCTCCAGTGCTCATGTGAATGGTGCAGAGAAGTCCAGTCCTTATTAGGACCAGTCAATCACTTAATCAGGTACATAATAACAGTCTTCTGGGAGGGATATAAGGGGTAAGAGATTAACCCCAGTCTGCATTACAAATAAGTTTAATGAAGTATTGATGTTACATACAGAAGGTCATGGCAGTGAGGAAGTGGGACTATTATGACTGAGCCTGGACGCGAGAACAGCCTGCAAAGCAAAGAGCATGGTAGGAGTTATGAACTGGGGAGGTAAAGGCAGTGTCAGTTCTTGGTTCAATTATTTGCTGAACTGTAACTGGGGATAAAAATACCCTTTTCTTCTTGCAGTTGTACTCAGCATGTACAGCTGCTTGTGTAGTTTTTAAATGGCCACAGAAATCTTGTTCTTTAACATCTCCTCTTCCACGCTGCTCTGGAGGGGACAAGCTGCATTTTTATAACAGGTTCCTCAGTGGGTAGTTTCTGTCCACAAGACACTCTTTTGCCCACACTGGGATATGTGTTGGTCTGATGGTTCTAAGCCACCAAGTGGGGCCTTATCTACAGCAAGAAGATGTGCAAAGTGATAGAAGGGCAAAGCTCAGCAAGTATTTTGGTGTTCACGGCTTTTCCAATGCAGCTGGTGAATTGGAGCAGTTGTGGGTTACTGTACTTTTGGTTGGGGGGTTGTTTGTTTAAAATTGGCTTTGCCTATCCCAGATCAACCTTTGGTCTAACTACTTTTGATATTGCTAGACATCTACTTGGTTTTATCAAAATCTATCCTTCAGTGTTCTGGCTTCTGTTCTACCTGGCCTCTAAAATATTTTGCCATGGATATGGAGCTGGTGGGATGCAGTAGGTTGTTCATGTTTGGAGACTGAGTTTAGGTAGGTTTAAGTAGGACCTATCTCTGAAGAGATTTCTCTGATTGGAATTGTGAATCAAAGCAGTTTTCTCTTTTGAGAAGTAAGAACCTGCCAAAATGCATGTGCAGCTGCTGGGGTTGTTCTCTGGCTATAGAGTCAAATCAACCAGAAAAGTCTCCTGCTGTGTCTTTGCCAGGTCCTCTGGCTTGTTTATATGGTTCACACTTCTGCCTGGAGCATAATATATACTGCTTTGCCAGCCTTCTGCAGAGAACTGCTGTTGTCCTCCTGTCCTTCTAGGGAGACAGTCACAGAAAACATGGTCTGAGCACTGTGTGTTCCTCTGCTTATGGTCCCATGTTCTGAGCTGTCACCAAAGAAGGAATGAATGCTAGAAATAGGTGTGGTTGCAGGAATCCACTCAACCAAATCACGTCTATTCTAATCAGTTCTTCCTTTTAAATCAATTTGGAAGGTAAAGAATCTCACCTGTGTTAAAGAAACCATGACCCTTCAGGGCAGCAGTGACTATGCTCATTTTTGGAAAACATAAATTTAGAATTCTCATGGCCCTCAAAGTAGGGGAGAGTGTGTTTCCTGTTTCAAACCCTCCAAATGCTATCAGCAGAAGTCTTATAAAAATTCCTGATTAGATTATGCCCTCATTGCATCAATGAAGATCACTTACTGTTGTTTAAGCATCTTATGTAGCACTTGGCTTGCAGCAGAGATACTGCTGCCCATTGGATCTATGATAATTCTCTTCTTTTTTTTATTCTTTACAATTTTTTTCTCCACGAGTGTTTTGTTGCCTGATGTGGTATGATATAAGCAATGAAACCAAGATTGCCCACACTAGAAGGGGTGTGTTTAGGGGCTCCTGCTCCAGTGAGATTAAATCTTAATGGCAAATTAGCTTTCTGCAGAGTGGGATGCCCAACCTTATTAGATTTTTTTTCTTCAAGTCTATCCTGGTAATTTCTTTAACTGTGTGTTCTCTTTTTATTCCCCTGCCCAGCTTTCGGCAGAGGGCGTATTGTGAGAGTGCCCAAAGGTCCTCTTATTCGAGTGGTGGGCACGGAGGTGGCGATCCCCTGCAGCGTTAGTGACTATGATGGACCTAGTGAGCAGAACTTTGACTGGGAGTTCTCCCGGGAGACTGACTTCGTGCGGATAGTGAGTACCTGGGATTCTACCTTCACCTCTGAGGAGTACCAAAAACGCGTGGGCCGCGGGGATATCAAACTGAGACGGAGCAGCAACGATGCTGTGGAACTTGTGATTAGAAACATCCAGCCAGCTGACCAAGGGAGATACAAGTGCTCCACGCCCAGCACTGATGCCACCGTTCAGGGAAATTATGATGCAGAGGTCCAAGTGAAAGGTATTTCTGAAGAGTGAGGTGTGCTTTAAATTTGGTTTTGATATTGGTTACAGATGTACCCTTAAGATTGTTTAATTTCTGTTGTTTATGATCACTGTGATTTTTTTATTCTTTTTTCTTCTCGTTCTTGTTTAATTCTCCTAAAGCCAAAATTGAAAATTGAGAAGTATGATAGCAAAGGCATTTGAGGTGAAGAAGTGAAGAGAGTGTTTACTATAAACACCACTTTGCTTTTTTTTCCTGTCTAATAAATATGTAAATAATAAGCAGTGGGTTTCCTGAAGATGTCTACAAGTATTTCATGTCCCTAAACCTCTGGGTAGAGAAGCTAACTTCAGGTAAAAACTACAGACTGTCTTTCTTCTCTCTCACTTTTAGTGTCATTTAGGGGTGTTTCTGTATGAAGAAGGTAATCTTCCTTTTACCCTTTAGAATGTTGATACTACAGTCACACCCTATCCTTGCTCTCTCATTTAGGGCTCTTCAGTAATAAATTGGGAGACTTTTTTTTTTCCTCAGTATCTTATCTTTTACTCCCATGAAAATCAAGACAATTTTGGACAGGAATAGACAGAATGATATTTGGATGAGAAACTGAAGTGAGGGGAAGCATAAATGAATTCTTATCTTGGCTTGTTTAAAGCAGAGCACTTCCTTTAATGGTTTTTCAGCTGAATTTCCTTGTTCCTGGAATATATTTATGTGTGGAAGAACAAATGATTGTCCAGGTGTTGCTCTGGGGTAGTTTTACTACCTTATATCTTAACAGATCAGTGTGGGTGTTCTCTTCTCGCTTCTGTTTTATGATGCTTGTGTTTTTTGGTCTCTTATTTTTCTTTTTAAACAGTGATTTCCGACGGCTTGTCCGTGAGCGGTTCAAAAGGACGTTCCTCGACTCCTCTCCGCCTGTCTGAGGGGGACTCCTTCAGGCTGCGCTGCTCAGCAGTTACCACCTCACCAGAGCACACTCACCTGCATGTGACCTGGCAGATCAAAAGTGGATCAGCTTGGCAGGACATCCTGTCTTTGACTCATGAGGGCAAATTCCAGCCGGGTGCTGGCTATGAGGAGCGGTACCGTAATGGAGATATCCGCCTGGACACGGGAGCGAACGACACGTACCGGCTGTCCGTGTCCCAGGCTTCCTCGGCGGATGGGGGGGCCTACAGGTGTCTTGTGAGCGAGTGGGTGAGAGGGGCCGATGGCTCGTGGCAGAGGATCCAGGAGAAGAGCGTGGAGATAGCGAGCGTGTCCATCCAGCGGACGGGTGAGTGTTACTGATGGGCTGGGTCACTGCAGGGCTGCGTCCGCTCTGTGACGCTTCGAGAGCAGAAGTTGGGCGAGCTGGAGGAAGTGAGGATACTTTCCAGGAGAACCTAGAAGGGCTGTCTGAGTCAACAGAAAATGTTTGGCATGATTTTTCTAGCTTTTATTTTGGGGAATTGATGGCATGGAAGGATTGCCTGGAACCTCTTAGATGCCTAGACCAAAATTTTATCCTTCGTTCACTTTAGATGGCTCCTGGTTTTAATATTTCTTAAACAAGCATTATCTTTAATTGCTGAGCACCCCAAATCTTCTTTCTGTTCTCTTCTTAATATAGGGTTTCCCCCTGGCACTAAACAACTGCAGTTCCCCTGTGATAGTGGCTTGTGATTCAGTGAGAGATGTGAAGCTCTTCTGTATGTTGTTTATGAAAATAGCATATCAAGAGAAAAGAGGAAGGCAGTGATAATTTAACAGGACAAATTATTCAGTGGATTTTTATCACTGACACTGGATCACTGGTCTGATTGCTCTACTGTGTTAGCAGGGGTCTAGGACAATAATGGTTCTGTTAAACACATCATTGCATGCTTGACTAAGGAGACAAAAATACATAGAGTGCTGTGCAAGGATATCCAGATATCCCTGCCCATACAGATTTCAGGATGAGATGCACTAAGCACTTAATTGCATTAGCATTATCATTGCTAGTTGGAGGAGGGAGAGCGGGGGTGATGCATCTTATCACTCAATAGGTGGAACAACAGGCAATGATGGTCCCTCAGAAATATGAGATTATCATGGTGTTTTAGAGGTATTCAGACAGTAAGGGTATCTTTTCATTTTTGTAATCCTTTAATCACTATAGGGAGAACCCAAAACTCTGGGGTTTTTTGACTAGCTCATTTGGATGTAGTTTTAGTATCCTGGTGGGACTTAGCCTGTGAAATCTGACAGGATTAATCTGCCCCCTCTTTTTCAGGGTGTCTGTTGCACAGTAAAGCTTGCAGGTGCTCTCTGCTGAGCCAGAATTTGTCTAATTAAGAGGTGTAATTCTGTGTTTTGTCACACTTTTGGAGAGTTTAGTTTAAGCAAGTGGGGTTTAATCAGTGGCTGTAAACAGGTTAAGGGTGGCCAGGACCAGTAGTATTACAGTTTTTTTGATGTGGTTTGGGCGTGTGGTTTTGTTTGTTTGTGGGAGATTTTGTTTGTTTTGTGGTTTGTTTTTCTTAAGAGCTTTTTTACCTTCACTTTTAGCTCAGTCATTGGCAACATTGACACTTTGTTAGGGGCGTGAAGTCTTTTTCAAAGTTGTGCTAAATGGGATAGGTTATTCTCCAGCAAAATGTTGTATAAACATCCTGTAGTAGGACTTGGAGAGAATCTTGTGCTGACATCTGAAATCTCTGCACTTGCATGCCAAAATGAACTTGAGTTGTAAATGGTTATACACCTATGGGTGAACTCTCTGAAAGTCCCTCTGTGTACATATTTTGCCAGGTTCTGAATGCCCATCACTGTTTCATGAAGGAGAAATGTTCCTTGGAGAAACACTGCTCTTAACCTTGCAGATGAATCTTATTTCGTGTTCTAGTTATTAGTCTGTTAAATTATCTAGGCTTTCCTACTGATTCCAATCCCATGATAAAACAGTGAGGCAAGTCCCAGTGAGATGTTCATCTGGACTTTGTTTTACCACTCAGGTAGGGTTACTACCCTTGTTCAGTTTGACTGCTCTGTGTTATCAGGTGGTGAGGAGTGAGATGAGCATTGCTTGGATTTACTGGCAATATAGCTCTGACTGCTCAGTTTGGCTCTAGACTTGTCTCTCTTGTTGTCTCTCATTCCAGATGGTAATCCCAGGAAGTTTTTACAGATGGGTAACTATTATACAGAGAACATGGTTTTGCTTAGAAACCACTAAACTACAACAGAGACATAGCTGGCTGTATAAAGCAGGTCTCTGTGTTCTTATTCATGGTCTTGGTCGTAGATCTGCTGAGAAGAGCCACTGCTGTAGCAGCCCTGTCCACTGACCTCAGTGGAGACTTGTAAGAGCAACTGCACTACACAGTGTGGGAACGGTGCTGCACTGAGATCCAGATCTAATCTTGAGGCAGTGTGGAATGAGGGAATGAGCAAGTGAAGACATGTGGTAGGCAGGTAACTGGGTGAATGATTTGCACTGACTTTTACAAATGAATACACACAGTGCTGCCGGTTCACCTCTCACCAGTAACTAAGACCAGCTTCCTACATCTGACCTTGACACTGTGATTCCTTGGTTTTCTTTTAACAAAGCTGTGACCAGCTTGGAAAACTACAGAGTGCAGAAGGTCCTGTTTGAATGCTGAGTATGACCATATGTGCTATGTATATTAAAAATATTCACTAGCCAGTGGAGGAGATTGTTAAATGTGTTTTGAGTAGCTGTTGGTGTTGCTTTAAAGTCCCCAATGTGCGTTGTCAGAGCTGTAAGTGGAAGTGTCAGGAGTATAGGGAGTCACTGCTGCCTTCTGTTTGCTTCCATTTCTGCAACACACCTGAGGTCAGTCAGGACTCCAACATGTGGCCATCACTGCTTCTCATCTAAATCTGTTCTGTTAGAGGAGCTCAAAAACATGTCATTAGAAACCAACTTGAACTCTAATGTAGTCCTAATGATTTCCATGGATGCTTTCTCTTCTGAGAGATAGTTACCAAACACTTTGACCTCCTGTGGGAATGGAAAATCCTGTACACCTTTTCCTGCTGTGTGAAGGTGACATGTGGTCTGTGACTGGGACAAAGCCTTTATTGACCACTGCCTGTTCTCAACTGACCGTTGAACGACAAAAATGCTGTTCTCCCTCCTTTTCTCTTCCCTGCCCTAATGACACATCCCTTGCTTGACTGATAATGTGTATTTCCCTTGTAATAGATCACTCGGTTCAATATCCAACAGGCATTTGAAGGTAAGGCTACTGAGCTGCTTCAGAAGCTCAAGTTATAGAATGTGAAGTCCTGAATGACTTACGGTGGATTCCTTTTATTGCAAATAACAAATAAAAAAATATTTTCTGTTTGAATTTTTGTGTCTCTATTTCTAAGCTCTAGATGTGGTCATCTCAACAAGCAATGTGTCTGTGACTGAAAGAGACTCCCTGGATCTTACATGCAACATCACAACAGACAGGAGTGGTATTTTCCAGGCAGAGGTGATGTGGTATTTTTCTGCATCACCTGATGATACCTTGTCAGATGCTCAGCTTTTGCTGAGCATGGACCGTGATTCTGTTGTCAGTGATTCAACTCTGATCAGCCTGAGCCATGTAGACAGGAACTCCTATCGCCTGTTGGTGCGGGATGTGGATGTGGAAGACTCCGGCTACTACTTCTGTGAAGCAGCTATCTGGGTACCCCTGCACAATGGGAGCTGGCACAAGGTGGTGGAGAGGACATCTGCACCAGTCAGTGTGGTAGTGACACCGTTAGGTGAGTGATTCTGCTTTCAGACTTCATGGGTAATGTTGCCACTCAATCCTTGGTCCCATCAGAAAAGGGAGAGGAGCTTGTGGAATCTCTCCTGCACAAGTTTCTCTCTCTTTTTTGTATGTGTAATATATATGTAGAGTATCTTTCTCTCTCACATAAAATAGATATATTTCTCACCTAGATGTGAGCTGGAGGCAGAATTGGCAGAGTTGTAGTACTTGGTGGTGTTCCCAACTTTGACTGGATGCAAGTATCCAAGCCCAGACCTTCTCAGTGTACCCTTTCAGATCCTCTTGTCATGAGAAACTGGTAGTACTGTCCAGTTACAAAGGCAGAGCTCCTCTAACATAAAAGTACTGAATGAGGCCAGCATATAGAGAGCCTGTTTTTCAGCTATAAATAGCTGTGCCATAAGGTTAAATCCCAGCGACAGTGACTTTAAATGCTGCATTTTAGCATTGTGTAGAGCAGTTGAGCCATGACTGTTTCCAAGTACACTTGTAACGTGTGCTAGAAGTGCACAAGTGATGAATGTCTTAATTTCCTGTCCTCATTCAACCATTCAAATTGCACGTTCAACTTGTGAGTGTTCCCTCCTTCCCCCACTTGCACGCGTGTCATTCGTGTACAGGTGCACTGCGTGCTCGTGTATTCTCTCATAGTGCCTGTACCTGTAGGACTATTCCTCACTCTTTCCATTCCAAGTTGGCATTATTTGGGAACAGGAGAGAATAAAATCTACTCTTCAGCAGATGTTTGGTTGCTAGGGAAAGTAGACTAAATTTTCGGCAATCGAGGTTTTCGTCTGCATGCAGAATTCACCAACTCCTCCTCTGGAATAGAAGTTAAGAGCTGCTGGAGTATTAAGTCGTTGAACTGTCAGTGAGGCTGTTTTTTGACAGCTGACAGAGTGGAGGAATGAGGTTTATCCAGCCAGCCTTTTATTCTTCTTAAATCCTCTGTTTGAGTGTCTGTCAGGGTGAAGTGCCTAGCTGGAGTGGTACTGTCAAAGGGAAAACTCTCCTCTTGGCGGTCCTTCCCCTGCCTGCAAATAAAACAAACCTGAAGAGATTTTCTAAGAACTCGAGTTTCTTGCAGTTTTTTCCTTCTTGTGTTCCTGTCTAGAGAAGAGTTTCTACTTTCATAGTCTTTGTTTCTGTGAAAACAAGAGTTGGTCCTGAATGCCTTCTTTTTGGAGGACGAAGGGGAGACAATGGGGAAAGATACGAGAACTGCAGAGTGTGAGCAATATATCATGAGGCCCTGCAGTAAACTAGTCTTTTGTGAATGAGAAAGGAAAAGTAGTGTAGCTGTAGGATCTATGGGGGCTCACACCAGAATTGGGTTTTGGCCTCTGTTAATAGTCTGTGCTTTGGCTGCAACAGAATTCTGTGCATTTTCTTTTTATTTTGCCTTATTTATGCAGAAAATGTGCAGAAATCCGCATGTGTTCACTGGTAGTAGATACTGTAGACTTAGGTGAGCAGTACTTTTATGCTTTTGTGTTGCCTAATGCTGCAGAAACTCACCATCAGTATCACCAGGTTCTCTGGGGTCTGGTGCGTGTGGATGCCCTTGTTCTTGCTAAATGCAAGGACACTGCATGCATAACACTTAATAGTGAGAGATCCTCTCTGCAAGCTGACATAGCAGCAGCTCAGCTTTCTGGATACAATTGTTTTTATCTTTTGCATCTGAAGTCCAAAAGTGCATATGCACACAACAGTTTGCACAGCAGTTCTATTAAGATGCTTTATTATCTTGGCTCATTGGTAAGCTAGGCCTAAGTTTTAGCCTTGGATTGCCTTCCCTGTCCCAATTATAGCTTCAGTTAATTGTTTCTGGGAGGGCAAAATGCCAAGAAAAACATAAAAGCAGGAAATAAATACAGAGTGCTGAATACAGTTACGATGTAAAAGCCTTGTGATGGGTATTGGCCGAACAGTTGGAAAGCCAGTCATTTTTCTGAATTATAGTAGACAGCAAGACAAAAATATTCTAATACTAGTAAATAAATATGTATTTCCTTTGTGGTGTGAGGTTCTTGCTATAATCTTTTTCCTTTACTATCTCTGTAGTCTGAAAGAAAATAGTCATGCGGCTCCCTTATCACTTGTAGGCTTTGGATAGCCAGCTATTTCAGATTTAAATACAGCAGCCCCATTCTTAACCCGTGAATTTCAGGCACTCATTTTCAAGCATGAGATATTCCAGCCTCATAGCTGTACAGCATGTTCTCCTCTGTTTGGATTGTGAAGCTTTTCTGATCTACTTGTCTTTGACTCTTGACCTAGTTAGTATTTATTAACCTATTTATTATGCTGACCGCTGAAATTCACTGTGCAATGCTGTTGGTGCTGCCTGTGGCCAGTGGTATCCACATCCCTTGGTTTTGGTGTCTGGGTGGGTAAAATGGGTTTCTTTGGGGTGATGTTTTAATTTTCCTAAACTGTAGTGTAGAGATATGATGCGATGGTTAAATGTGGAAAAGAAAGCAATTCATGGTGGGAAGATGGCCTCTTATCCTGAAGAGATACTGGGAAAATGGGATGTCTCTCGTTAGTCCAGAGCTGGAGGATAACCACTGTCGTGCTGTGGGCTACCCCAGACGTTTGAAGAGGTGCAAAAAGTGACTGGCTGGGACAAACCTGAGCCCACCATGGTGGGTTCTTGGGGCCAGGCCTAAAGGAGGGAATTATCTTGCTCAGAAAGATCCCTTAGTCTTGATTTTTCTGAGATGGTCTGACTTAGACATATGAAATGGAAGGTCTTGTTTGGAAATGCAGGCCTGGGGATACCTGTGTCAGGCTGGTGCAAGTCTGGGAACCGTAGTCCAGGTTCCCAGGTCTTGTAGGAAAAATGTGTATTCTGACACTTGGCTTCTAGCTCAGGTGCTTCTGAGTGGATGTCAGAAGTTAGCATAACTTTTAACAAGTTCTAGCATTTTCTCCCTTCTGCTTGTAGCTTCTAATTTTTTTTTTTCCTGGGTTTCTTCTCCTTCAGAGCCAGACTATGATGTGTTCCTGAATGCATCTAAAACACCCAAGTTTTTGGATGACCCTACAGAGCTCAACTGCAGGATCACAAACGCGCAGGACACCGAGGCAAACCTCCGCTTCACAGTCTCCTGGTACTACAGGCAGCGCCTGCCCAGCGATGATGTGGTGACAGATGAACTCCTGGCCACGATGGACGCAGACTGGACTCTGCTACCTGGGGACAGGAGCAGAGAGCGGATTCAGAATGGGGAAATAATCTTTTCTAAAAGGTCTGTCGACACCTTCAGTTTGCGAATCCAGTGGACTTCAGAGAGCGACAGAGGGGATTACTTCTGTGTCATCTCTGCGTGGAGTAGGCACCGCAACAACAGCTGGGTAAAGAGCAAAGATGTGACTTCTGCACCTGTCAACATTTTCTGGGCTACACAAGGTAGGGACTTTGCACCAATTCAGTGAAAGATCTGGGTGGCTGAGATAGTTTTCTCTTAAGTAAGCTTGTCAGCCTGAAGGCCTGCTAATGGGCTTTGGAAATGGTGTTTTGTGTTATGAAAATGAAAAAAACACTGTCACCTTATGTAAAGGCCTCTGATTTGTGGAGGGAAGGAAGTAACTACGCAGGACTCACCAGTTTTATGCAACAGTTTGGAAGGGAACTGCAAAGAAGAGATAAATCCATCAACCTGCTGAGATGTCCAGGAGCTGGGCTGGAAGTGGCAGGGATGGCATCTAGCAGTGTTGCTGTGGTGATTGCTCCCTTTATGGCTTTGAGTATTTTGATCTCTTTAGGGTGCATCTTGCTGCTAACAACAGGATTGTATTGAGTTGAAAAGAGGAATGTCACTTTGTCTTCTATGTCTGCCAGTTTGAGAGTTGAAGTTTTGTTTTTCTCTCCTACAAGCTCACATTTAGAAGGCACTTCTGAGGAAGTTCATGGATGTAGTGGGAGCATTTTTGAGGATCCTAATTACCCAAATTGCTTAATACTGGTTTTAAAATGGGCCTGTGTATCCTGGATGTCCTGTAGAGTGACACTGTGTGAAGTCATGCAAGAGAAGTCTGCTGGATAGGATCAGAAGGACTAGGATAACCTGGGATGTAACATCTTTGGCAAAAATCTGTGCTTAGCTAAGGTGCATTTATCTTGATAGATCTAACAGTCTAGCTTAGGCATCCACAGGTAGAGAACTATATTTCAGAGACAAGCAGTTTGAAATAATTTTAAAGTTGTTTAGAAAGAATCCCTGAACAGCAAATTGGAGACCACCTGCTGTGACTCTGCTTCAGTGGAGAGAGAGAAATGGTGGGGCTGCCTGCTCAGTGCTCCCTTTATCCCCAAACCAAGCGTGTGGTCCAGGAAAAGGTCACTTTTACTTTTTCTTTTCCCCTGAAGCTGGCTTCTCCAGCAGGAATGAGATCTCTCATTAATGCTAAGTGCTGGTCACAATTAGTTCAGTGTTATGCCACAACACGGAGTGTGTGTGTACGTGCATGCATGTGTAATGGATCATCGCCTTTGGAGCAGCCAGAGACCAACTGGAGTTGAAAAGTCTCAGCCTGTGTTGACATTTCTGAGGGAAAACAAACCGTGACAGGTGTGAACATTCCCGTGTTTCTGGTTTTATTCCAAAAACTCTGCTAATTTTGCAGCACAAATGTGATAGTCCTTGTGCTGAAAAGTACATTTTGCTGGCAAAACTTGGAGCTGGGGGATTTATTACGTGAAAGCGAGCTCTCCTACAAAAATGTTCTCTTCCTGAAAAAGCATGCCATGTGTATATAATGTGGGGAGGGCAGCACATAGGCTTGATCTCTCCTTCTTCCCTTCCACCCTCTCAATCTCTCCCCCTTCAGCAGTGTAGCCCCAGATGCCTCTCTCTGTGTGCCCTGTCCCTTGCCATGCCCTGTTCCTGTGAGCTTCAGACTCAGCTGTGAGCCCAGTGCTCTAGCCAGCAACTATGAAGGAGTTAATCTGCTGCTGCCTCTGCTCTCTGACTGTTGTTTTGACAAGTATCTCTGGTGATTTGAGTCCCTAACTGCTCCCAGTGCTTATAAAAACCAGCAGCCAGGCTCTCACGTGTTTGCCTAAGGAGAGAACAGAACTTAGCCTTTTCCTGGGCATAGGAAGGATAGGTTATGCCTACATAAAGACTTTTCTTCCATTTATTTCATTACTTGCATCTTCCGTGTTAACTTTAGAGCAGTGCTCGAGGAGGGGGGAGGACTTTGGAGAAATTCCACTTCGAAAAAGGTTGTTCTGAGTTCTTGAGAAAGGGGAAATGGTTTTATGATGTGTCTATGGACCAATCAGCACAGAGGTTGACTGAGGATAAAGAAACCTTTGCTTGAAATGTAAACATCATGTAAAGATGTAAAAAATCCTTTTTTTTGGTGTTTGTATATTTGCCCATTTTAACTTGGGGTTTTATTGTCTTTGTTTTCTGTTTTGTTCTGTGGGGACCAATAGTGCTCACATGTCTTTTTGCTTACTCAGCTTTGCAAATGCAGCCAATTGCTATCATAGATCAACCTTGGTTTTGACATAGTCTGCTTTATATGTTTCTTCCCCTCTTCCACTTCTCCCCTGGTAAAGGTGACAAGAGAAGTGTCTCTCTCACGTCAAAAATGAAACACATCAGTTGTATTCTTATTTTTTGCTTATTTGGAGTGCAAATTCCAATCAGTAAAAGGGGTAAAGGAAGGGAGAAAACCTTTTTGACTGGCTCTGTAAATTATTTTCAACCCAGAAAAAGTCTGACAGTTTAAAAGGTAATTTTATTTATTAATTTGATTGTGAGTACTGCCTACATTTAGAACACAGCTACTGTTTGCAGTGGAATGTGAAATCAATGCTTTTTTCCTAAACCAGTATTGTCAACTTTGGATCTGCATGGAGTACTTTGCGAAAGAGAACGTTATCTTTTAATTGAAATTCCAAATCCCAAAGGTGCTATTATTTGGGGCTTTGTTAATACTCCTGTCTTTAATTTACAAAATAATTATATTTAACATAACGTTACTTGTCCTAAATGTTTGCCCAGGCCCTCCCATCATACTTAATTGGGAGCAAGGGCATCTTAATCTTTCAGACAGTCCTGCGAACAGAGAACAGATAATATTTCTGCCACCCACTTTCCTTTATCACTGCTGACATACAATAGGCACTGTGTAATACAGACAGTATTTGCTCAGTTCCTCCTGAGCAAAGAAATTCCCACTACCATGGCACCACGCTGCTGGGTGTGTGTGCCAGTTTGGGTGTAGGAAGGAGAAAGTGCCTTTGGTTTGGTGAACCATCCCCAGTCAGGGCTGGCTGGGCTCCTGATGCCTGGCTGTGTGAGGGGCAGTGTTTGTGTCTGCACTTGGCAGGGGAGCAGGACAGTGAGGGAGGGCTGGTGTGTGCAGCAGCGGGGGAAGCCCTGTGTGGTATGTACATGTGTCACCCTGTAGTGCAGGCTCTGTGCGCCTGCCACACTTCCAGCACTCCTGGTATCAGAGCTGCTGGGGCCACAGTTGTACCTCAGGGTGTTGTACAGCCACCTCCTCCTACGCAGGCACAGCTGTCATTACCGTAATGTCTGTTGCGTTCCCTGTACTTGCAATCTAGTTAGTGCACTGGGGGATGAAGAAACCTTTATGAATATTGAGATGTCTTGTCAGCAGCCTAAAGTAGTGCCATTAGGCTCTGAGGTTACTGTTAGCCAGGGCCATCATTCTGCTTTTCCAAATGGAGTCAGTGGAGTGCAGGGAAGGTGCTGTTTTTTAAAGTCTCCTTGCCCTTGTTGCTGTTAGACTTCTCTAGAAGTTTGACTGGCTTAGATTTGGTGAAGAGTCTTTCTGGTCACTACCCAGGAAGTGCTCTTGAAGCTGAACATGCACTTTGTGGTAGAAGAGCAACAGGAGAATTACAGTGTGGTTTAACCACTTGGACTGGCCAGTGATGGAAGGCAGAAGCTTGCATTACCAGGCTCCAAAGTACAGTTTACTCAAATTTTATTTGAGTCACTTGGCTAGGGTTTCTTCTGCTGCTAGCCCTCTGTCTTCGAGTAGTACCCAAATGGGTTATAAGCTTTGGGTATGGTTTACTTACAATCTCTTCCCCTACCACTTTCCAACACAAACTCTGCATTTTGTAACCTCCTGTATACAAGTGTCCAGAGTGTGTTTTGTTGTGGCTTTTCATTCATGGAGTTTTACAAGAAGATGAGACTCCACATGGGATTGCAGGCATGTGTGCAGAGAGACAAGAGCATGGAGTAGTGGTCAAGACAGACTTTGCTCCCTTGGCAATCCTCAAAAGATTAGAAATGAGACCTCAGTCTGTAGTTCTTGGAAGGAAATGTTGGTTTGACCTCTCTGGCCCATCTTATACTGTAAGATCAGATGAGTAATTTCTGTTAACATAGGAAACATGGAGAAACTTTCCTTTCCCATTTAACTTTCCATGCATATTACTGTTATTTCTAAGCTACGTGCCAAGTCTTTGGTCTGCCCTCTTACTCATACTATGCACTCTTACAGAGACAAGTACATGGGTTTTTTTTTGGGGGGGGGGAGTGGTGAAGGAGTGCTAATGACACTTTGTCTGCTCCTACTGAAGAACAATTTTGGCAGAAAATCATATTGTTAGGAACACTGATGCAGGCTTTTCCAGTTGAGAGGATGTGGGGCATTTTTTTTTTTTGGTTGCTGTTGCCTACATATGCAGGTCTCTAAAATTTTTGCATATTCAGAAATGTTCCTTTGATTTTATTTTTTGTTTCCTACTATCTTGCAATAAGAAACATTCATGGCCTGTATGTGCTGGTTTTTATGTACCCTTCTCTATTCTGGTCTGCATTTCTTAGGGTCTAATATAAGAGGAGGGTGCCTCTGCCTTCTGTGTTCATCCAGCTTAGGGATCTCGGCAGTTTTAAAAGGTAGAAATATCCTTTGAAAGGGCTTTCATAAGAGCACATCTCCTTGTTCTACATTCAGTATCCTAAGTTCTAAACCATTTGAATTCTACCACTGTTCTTCAGCTTTGTCTCTGGGCCTCAGATGTTCTCCTCCACAGACTCTACAGATTGCACTTCTGCTGTCACATGCTACCACCACTCCTTTCTTTTCTTCAGCAGAAATATTTCGTAGAAGCACTTGCTATTACCCTCAAATGGAAAGGCAACACAGAATGTCTAGGAACAAAATTTGCTCTATCCTTGAAGAGGCCAAGACACTGCCATTTGTACTACTGCCTGACCTGTGGCTTAGGGAAGAGTTAAGGCATTTGAAGATCAGGTAGTAGGGAGAGTTATCTCAGCTGTATCTGTACTGCTCTGAACATATGAAGGTATTTTGTCTTAAACACACATATGAGAGACCAAACGCAAGATTTCTTTTCTGGTATCTGGGACCCAGTGCTCTGACATGAAGATCAACAATGTAAAGAATGTTTACATCAGGAGGGATTTTTGTCCACAGCCTCCTCATAAGGCCTAGAAAGCAACAATATGTACCAGAGAAGTACGACTGGCTGTTTATGCTTCTGCTTTTGGGGAGAAGTGTAATTGTCTTGTATGTTCCTAAAATAGGTGAGAAGCTGATTTGTGCTGGTCTCCTAAATGCTGCAACCTTACGAAGAAAGTAATATCAGAATCTCATGGACACAGAATGAGGAAAAAATGAATTTGAAGTCTAGAATCATATATATATGTATGAGTTCTTGCACAAGGGAGTGGAGAATGACTCTGTACAGCTTCAATTGTGATTGTATCCTGAGTGCCTAAATATGCAGCTCTTGTATTATCACTTGCTTAGTGGGTGGAAGTGTGAGGGGGGGTTTGGTGTGGAGTATCAAGTAATTCTGTGCTCAGCTAGACCACTAGAAGCATCTCAGCCTTCGCCGCTCCTGCTGTTTCTTTATATGGCTTTGCACTGTGATCTGCTTTATACAGTACTGATTTAAAGTTGTCATACCAGGTTTCTCATCTTGTGGGCTGTGTTTACTCGTTGTGAAAACTGCTGCTTGAAGGCAAAACACTGCAAAATGTAATCTTGACAAGTATCTTGTTGCTCTTGTGGGGAGGACATAAATATTACTGCACTTAGTTCACTTTTGGGAAATGTGTTACAATCTCACCATTGCTTATTTCCCTTTTCCCGAGAAGTTTCACCTTGCATAAGGATGATCTGTGTATTTTTTTAACGGGTCTACATTTGTTTATTTAATAAAGGGGGAAGAGAGAGTAGGATGCAGCAAAGTAAGTCCAGAGAGTTGGATTGGTTGTATTTTTCTAGTACTGGTACTTCTATGTATTCTGTCCCAGCCCTCCCTTCCTTAGGAAGAATCTGGATGTGCAGGGTGTCTCTTCATCACAATGCCAGGAAATCAGCAACTCCCTTTCCTTTTATCTGATTCTGATTTGAGTCACTCCTCATTTTCTCAGTTTCTCACTGTGAGCTTGCATTTTGTATGTCTTGGGGCTGTGCTCTTAGATGTATAATTATCCCAAACCCTGTAATTAAGGGATTCTTGGGATTGAGGAGCCAGCAGAGAGTGGAGAAGAAATGGGAGGAAACTGAACAATAAGTGGTCCTGGCATTCTTGATGTCAAATGGGCTGTTGGTAAACGTCAAGGCTTCCGGTAGGTTTGTACACATGAGAAGTAATAGGGTGTGGGGGGGAGAAGAAAGAAATGTGGAGGCAGAGGTGTGCCTAACTCTTTCAACGTGGAGCTGTGTGTATGGGGATTCTGGGGATGGAGACTTCTGTTATCACCAGCTTTTGTCGTGTGTTTTCAGCTGAATGTGTCTGCACTGCTGTTAGGGAAATAAAGGGATGCTACACGAAGTGCTGCTAATTCAGTCAGTGGCAGCTTCTGTCACTAGTCATGAGCATCAGCAGTGTCCTTGTGCCCTGTCACTGAGGGTGCTCTTGCAGATCCAGTGTAAGACTGGGACTCTGAATCTTGTCTAATATCTTTACTCCTGAGTAAAATAATGCTGAGGGTCCTGTCACACTACAACCTGTGTACTGTTACCTGTTCAGTATTTGGTGTTCATTTGAATTCTTGCCTCTTGACCGAAACTGTTGTGTACTGGTGCGTGTGCGCGCACTGTTGAGTAGCGTTCTGGGATGTCAGTGTGTGTTTAGATAAATGTGCTGGCATTTGTTCCTCCGAAAAAAAGGACTTTCCCTGTTTGTAATCTTCCAGATTGAAAGGTGCTGCAGAGACATCCCTACCTACTTATTAACCCCCTCTCTTGCTGCTTATTTCCCTCCCTCTTCAGATTACACGCTCACAGTGGAGGCGGTGAAATTGAAGCCGTTCTTTGTAGCAGGCCACACCTTTGAGATGACATGCAAAGTTTCTTCGAAGAACATCAAAACGCCGCGCTACTCTGTCCTCATCACGGCTGAGAAGCCGCTGACGGATCAGTCGAATCCCAATGGAACCACCCGCATCATCTCCTTGAACCAGGACTCAGTGGTGCGGCTGGAAGACTGGACGGACCAGACGCGTGTGGACGGCGTGGTTCTGGAGAAGGTCCAGGAGAACGAGTTCCGCTACCGGATGTACCAGACCCAGATCTCCGATGCTGGGCTGTACCGCTGCGTGGTGACCGCCTGGTCTCCAGGCGGTGGTGGCATGTGGCGCGAAGCAGTGAATGGCTTGTCCAACCCTATCCAGATAGACTTCCAGACGTCAGGTTGGTATAGAATCTGGCAGCTGAGCGTTTTAAGCCAGAAAGGGAAAGAGTTCTGTGACGCTTTTGCACTGATTTCCGCGTCTCTCAGAAATGCCTACTCTTTGGAACAAATGGTGTGATGACTGAGAGCTGTGTCTGTCTCCTTTGGTGGTACTTCTGTCCTTTGTGCTATTGATTGTTTACAGGAAGATGTTTAATGAATTGACTGTAATCATAACCCCTGGGTTTTTCTGTACTAATGCAGCTTTTATGGTCCTGCAGGCTCAGAGCTGGTTCTCAGTATGTAGCTGCATTTTCCAGCTGTATCACTAGATTGCTGTTAGTAGTGGCTGCCCTGGAAGAACATTAATATAAACTGGATTTCTGTTCCAAAACAGACCCTGTTAGCATACCATTACATTCCCTGAGCACACCTTGCTGTTGATGTAATTGCAGAAAATGCTCAGGTCAAGGTAACATTTCAGGCATCTCAGCAAGTGCATCCTGCTGCTGGAAGACCTTAGAGGTCCATTGTGGCTAGACTACAAAGCTCCACAAGTTGGGATGAATTTCAGTACCCAGACGGATATCCTGTCCCTCAGTTGCTTGCTGAAACCCTTACCTTCAGCTCTAACATAAAAGCCTACTTGTGGAGATATTTCTAGAGAAACATGCCTGAGCTGATATATTGTTGAGGGAGAGAGAGGGACAGCATTGATTTGGATCATCAGAGATGCATGTTAACACTGACTTCCTATCATACTATATTGCTAGGAAGTGCCATGGGAGTTGTTTTTGTAACAGTGGTGAAGGGCTCATCTCCATGATTTGAATCCAAGCTGATGACTTCTTGAGGAGTTTTATAGCCTATATGTTGCCCAAAGTTGCTTCCTATGTTGGAACTCTTTAGTTAGCTGCTTTACTGCAAACCTTCTGCATTTCCCCATTCCTGTTCACAGGCACAACTTGGAAGAAGGTCTTTTCTGTCATCCCTTGTTCTTTGTGCTCTCATTGTGCTTATAATGGCAGGCTACAGGATGTTTAGAAGTGTCTGTGACTAGGGAAGAGCAGCCTGACTTCTGGTTGCATCCATAACTAAGATAATTGTTCTATATGAGGTGATTTCTAACAACTGAACTTTCTTACACTAGGCACACTAGTGTAGGGAAAAGGACAAGGGCTGAGTGTAAGGGGACAGCCTAGAAGTAAGGATATCACTCTGTGAGAAGCTGTGAGCTGTAGCATCCTGATACAAAGATGCAGCTTGATCTAATCTGGCCAGAAAGAGGAGGTTGACTCAGCTCAATGCTTCTTTCAGATCTAGGTAATTTTTGACTGGCTTTTTGTTTAGTTTTGTGGTAAGTTACTGTCCTGAAAATAATCTGTTAGTTGCTTGTGTTCAGAGTGCCTCTCAGAGCACCATTGTCAGAGATGAATATTGCTGTAGATTTGTTGTCTTTCTCAGGATGGTTTAATGGGCTACAGTTTTAGCCTTATTACTCTTGTCTTACCCCAGAGGGTCAGACACAGTGGGAGAGCAGCATTTGCAAAGGGGTGATAAAAGGAACCAGCAATAATCAAATCTGTTGCAAACCCCACCCTCCCCTTCCAAGCTCTTATGTGGAGGCTTTCCTGCACACAAGTAGTGTGGTTGGTGCCTCTCCCAACATTGCTTGTCTTGGGTCACTTTGAACTGCTATCCAAAAAGTTTGGTGGGATGCTATTGATACCCATGGGTCGGAGGGAAAACTGAGAACTATGCAAGGGAGGGAAGGGTGCGTGTTGTAGTCTTGACTTCTCTTTGCTGTCGGTCTGTACTCCCAGCCCCTTCACCCAGATAGGATTTCTGGAGCATGGAGTGAAGAAAGGGAGGCAGCATGTGAAAGTGTCCTGGGAATGTGTGAATTCCAGCAGCAGGGCTGGAGCAGGGCAAGGGATGGTCCTGAAGCCCTGTCAGCCTTTCATTCTTTGCAAAAGAATGAAGAAGGAAATGAGGTCCAAGGCACAATTTACTGGAGTGCTATTTCCCAAAATAATCTTGGCATGTAGCAAAATGTGTCATGAAATACCTTCAATTTTCTTTAATTGATGGATGAACTTTGTATCCTTGTTACTCAGGTATTCCTGCTGAACTTTCACCTCTGGGCATGATGAGAACAGGTGACGAGGACAGTTTGAATGGACTAACTGTGGAATTATTATTTGGAGAATTATTTGGAATTAAGTATACAATACAGAAGATGTTTTGTGGGTGTGTTACTCTGGTTTTTTTTGCTAGGTCTGTGATGCAAACTGAAACTGACTCGGGGAGCCAGAGGTAAATGACAAGAGTTGTGGAGCAGCTATAAAAGCACAGCTCAGATATCACACCCTTCCCTTGCATCCTGTGGCACAAGCAGCTGTCAAATTTGTTCTTCAGAAAAAGAAGTTGGTGCCAGATTTTCCCTAATGGGCATGGTGAAAGGCAGAACTGCTGAGGGAGGTAGTTGTTTCCAGAGAGAATGAGAAGCTCCCCAAAATTGGAGGGAAGATACTGGAAGGGAAGATGCAGAAAGAAGAAGGGCATGCAGCTTTCCAATCCGTTTTAATTTCTGGGAAGCACCACTCTGCTAAATCCTGAGTTACAAGGAGGATGGGGTGTGGTGAATAACTTATGACTGTGTTTGTCTGTGATAGGAAAACTTAATGAGTCAGTTACACTGATTTGTGGGGTTCTCAAAGTGTAACAGAAACACAGCTTAGCTGCAACTACTGGACAGGAGTATAACAAGGCAGTATAATTTTGAAAAAATAGAAGGTATTCTGGTCTCCCTACTTTGAAGTCTCAGATTTAGACAGCATTTTCAGCTTGCATCATGGGGGTTGAAGTGGGGAGGTGATCAATACAGAAACAGCATTTTTAGCAGAAGGAAACCCTTAAAGGGTTTTACATGAAGCTTTTAGTCCTAGGAGGAATTTCTTTCTCAGTTGTTTTTATTGATTCTCCTTTGATGGGAGATGGTGAGGCTTGCTAGGATTGGAAATCCTTCCCTCCAGTTTGACTCTCCCAGATCTCTCTGAGTTGAGTGATGTTTCAAAGATGTGTTTTTAGCATGCATACCCAGTGTGCAGTGTGATCTATCTGAATGGCAGGGCCGTGTAAGCTTTTCATATGTGAGCTGGGGACTTCACTCGTGAAACTTCAGTGTTTCCTGCCACAATAGACTTGAAATGTGGCAGTGCTCTGAAATGTTTTTCCATGAACATCTGTGGAAAATGTCTTCCTCAGATTCTTTCCATTCAAGGCAGAACTTGCTGGCTGCAAGCAGAGACCTCCTCTCTCCTTTCTCCAGTTGCTGTTGCAGAGGGATGTATTTATTCCATTTGGTTAATAATCTGAAATGTTAAAGTTAAATAATTTGTTTGAAATCTCCTGAAATAAAAAAATGAAATGTGGATTTTGTCCACTGAATTACATAAACTAGATGTTGGGATAGGGGTGTGGCAAGGAGGAGCCTAATAGGTCATTAGTTTCCAAATATCAAATCAATGGCAGATTGTTCTCTGCTGAATGTATTTTAAGACCAGAGAGGATCTGGTGAATTTTCTTGTATGACCTCATGAATAACATGGATCACTAGACCAATTCTGTAAAACGAATGCCTTCTGTATATGTCCAGTAGCTGTAAGCAAAATGAGCTTATTTGAGGGGTGGGGAAGCTGTCACACATAAAGAATTTAATATTCTTCAGTGCTTATTTTTTGTTTTCCCAGTCTAGAACAGAGGTTCTGCCATTTTTTTTTTTTTTTTTTTTTAATAAAGTTTGTTCAGCAATGCAGAGGACAAGAGCAGCTGCCAGTGGTTGTCTTGGAATTATGTCTTAATTTCATTGCACTGTTTCTGCTCCAATGCATCGTTTCTCCTCCTGAGCTATTGGTTAATGCTCGTGTACGTGACCTTTTTTTTTTTCAGCCTGAAGCACACCTATCTTCTGTTCCTTGCTGTTCTTCTGATGCCAGTTTATCAAGACAGCTTCTTGTAAGACTTGTGATCCTGCCCACCCACACTGGAACTCTCACTTGTCTTCTGGTCATCTGGAGGTGCTGCTCCAGTGGGAATACCCTGCAAGGGCTGAGCAGCGGGTGGGGGAGGTGTTGTCTTTGTGTTCACCCTCAACCCAAGCTGAACTGACCAGCAAAGGTGGGAGTCCAATAGCTGGGAACTTGCTTGAGATCAGAGTACTTACCTGAGGCAGGTCTGTACAGGTATCTCTTTCAAATGGCTCCATCTGGCCTGGAACTGCTTTTTAGTGCAGAGATACCTGGTCTCTGTGAAATCCACCTGGTTTATCCTGGCATCATAAACTCTGCTTTGGCAGTTGTCCTTTGATTTTTTTCAAACCCTTTCGCCATGAACTGGGCAACCAAGGTTAGTGTTTAGAATGTCTTTGCCCACTACACACTCACAGGGATTTCCACAGAAGTGACTTCTTTTCCTTTCCCTTGAGGGAAACAGGGAGTAGGAAGCTTTTAATCTAATGCTGAGAAGTATGTTATGAGAAAGAACTATTTGGAGCTTGGCTGTGCTCTGAGCTATCTTCCCTCTGTGCCATTCACCAGCGGGCAGAAAGTTCTGGAGAGGCACTTTAAGGGAAGCATCTCGATGAAATCTTCAGCTCTGGATTACGTCTGCATGTGAGTTCATTGCACAGCAATGTATTATCACTCACTTTGGAAGAAGCTGAGATAAACCAAGAGCTGCTGAAATATAAGCCGAGTATTGATGTTGAGCTTGCAATTAAAATGAAATGATGCCCTGCAGTGACCCCGAGAGATACTCAATTTCAAGAAAGGCGAATAGAAAGATTCTTAAAGGCAAGGAACCTTAATCACGGAAATGAATGAAAAGCAAGGCAGCAGAAACTCTTTGGCAAGAAAGGCTGGTATTTTCCAACCACTGTTAATGGGCAGGAACATGCTTTGTCATTGTATGCCTTTGTGCCTGTGTGCATTAATTTGTAGCTGGAAGTAGAAACCACAGA